CAAAATATTTCCACAACAATAACTCTTTTACCATCCAAATAACCTAAACTATAGTTACAGACATTTGATTGGTCCTAAGAACAGTGTTTGTGATTGGCTAGTACGCTTTTATTACAAAACACGTCTTTATTCAAAATGATTTATGTTTGTTTGTTCTACTAAAATAGGCATAACTTTTTTTGTAATACAGATATTTTAATTCTGTTTTTGTTATTAAATTTCACATTAAATTACCTTCAATTTGATATATAAACTTTTGTATTTAAGTGAAAATTAATATATTCTACAAGCACACAAAGTTGAAAAACATGAAACTTTCAGAAAGTGTCCACACTTTTGGCCACCACCGTATATATACATACATTCAGGGGATAGAGAAAATAATGGAAACACTTCTATACTAATACATTTTTTCATATTTCTCAAGAAATACTTAAAGAATAATTATATAACTTCAGAAGTGTTTAGATCATGTTTTTTTACTCTTATCAATGCAGTTTAAATCTTTCAGAGGTTTGAAGGACCAACAATTAATTACAAACAGTAAATAGTATTTTTGAACATCCTATGCCGAAAAATGTATCAAATGTACCGAAAATTCGTAACTCGTAACAATTATTTTGGTTATTATATGTAATAATTGCACAAAATTTTGTAAACCTATCTTAAATATTTATAGAGATATAGACATTCTTTTAAAAAAAACTTTTTTTTTTGCCTTACTTTTCTGCTATTATTGCTTGAGAAAAAAAATTTTAAAACAGCACAAGATATGAGTAATTAAAGTAATTATTTTATACTCTGCAAGCATGAGAAAAATTTATATTTGTTTCTTTTGTAGTGAATCATATTTGGCTACTAATAAAAAAAATCTGATTTGAATATCTTGAAAATTAAAAGTTTTTACTATTAAATTAGTTTTATTAAAAATGACACAGGCATTGTTGGGGATCATTCTCCATAAAAGAGCCCTTTCTTTTGCATCTCTTCTTTCCTTATACGATCATATTTTGGTGTATGAACATTTATTGTAAGGTGTCATTTGTTATTGAAGTTTGTTGTATGATACAAAAAATTATTTGTAGAAAACCCGTTATCATTTTGAGTTTTTAAAGCACAAAAACTACTTACAGAAAATAGGTTTAAATTTTAAATTGCTCTAAATGCAGAAAAACGTCAGACAAAAAAATTATTTTTTTTATAAAAATGTTCATCTAGCGTTTATTTATACTCCAAACATGTTGAATACTTTATGGATGATAATACAATTCAACATCTTGCCTGGCTAAACCAAGAAAAAATTTTTGAGACACGTTGAAAAAAAAAGTTTGAAGTCTGTGTAACCAATGCATATAGTATTTTCTGGACATAAATGCACTCTGGAAACTTGTTGAAATGCCTTCATGAATATTGGCTAATATGATCCTTTAATATATTAATCTAAGGTTTTTATTTTCATTGGCCAGTGTGTATATTCATTTTCATTAGTTCAAAAATTACAACAACAAAATGCTTTTTATTTTGTATATCCAGTTTCATAACCCTGACTTTTATAAAGCTCTTTTTAAATAATTTAATTATTTAGAAAAATTAAAGAACTATAATTTGAAAAGAGGAAAAAAAACTTTAAAACTCACCAAACAATTGCAAACAAAGCTAATTAGCTTAGTTCAGTTCTCACCAAATTTGATGTCTTCCATCAGTGCAAAACAAGGGAACATGTTTCATCCATGCACACTACCCATTTATTGTCCTCAGATGTGTAGTTTCAGTTTTCCCAACATCACTGTAAACAAATGGTAGTATAGTTCGTCTAAGCTAAGAACTCCTCCCGCCACAAAGTCTGAAGCCATCTGGTGCTATGAAAACTAGAATGGCTCACTTTAGGGAGGGTAACTTCACTCTAGGACTAATTACAATAGACCAAAGAAAGAGATTCCCTTCCCTTTTGCTTACCAACCTGAGCTGAAACCACTCCAAAACAACTTGAAATAGTCATACCTCGTTAACATAGTCACCACCGCAGTTCCAGACGAATGTCTGGGGGAGTTCTTATTTTAGACAAACTATATTTCAAGCAGAAATGGGATGTTTCCTTCAAAGGATTTGAATTTATAGTCCAATCCCCTGCAACTCATTGGACCATAGTTTCTGCCAAAATCAATTGGGAAGAGCTTTGTTGGAGAGATTTTGCAAACTCAAATACTGTGAAGTCTCTTTTCTGACATATAATTTGCAGAAGACAATGCCAAGCAGAATCTTGATGAGTTCTGTTACAACCATTGTCACGAAGAAATAACTGCAATTCTTAGTTCTGTTTTTAACTTTTGAAAACCTTTAATATGACTGCTTTTGAGAACCCAGCAAGTGATACGGTTTTCACAATCATGACTCCCGCCAAACAAGCACCAACAATAAGCCCTTCTTCAAATGGTTAATGATTATTCTACTATCTTTAGTGTTAAATGCATCCAAACACACTACTTATTATTGCAATTTACCTCGTGTTGTAAATAAGTTCGCATAATTTGCCACTAGTGAGCATTTATTAGAAAACCTCGCAGGTTTCAAATTTATTGACCAGTGTTTGTATATTTATATATTATGATAAACACTTTATGGTTTTAAAATATATTAATTAGTGCAGATAATAGTTTATATTACTGTGGTATGTTAGAAACTATAAAAAAAGAAAAGTTGAACATAGCTTAAGACTATCCTACTATAAAATAAAACTGTTTTACAAAATACACAACCCTTTGATGAGAGTTAATTGAAAAGAAAAGGAATTAAATCAGTTTCTCAAGATTAGATTATTGAAGTCAATTGTGCTAGATGTAATTCAAAATATTTTACATATACAGTGCACAAGTACCGTGTTAAGGGCAATTTTAAACACGTTCAATTAATCAGTGTTAACCAATTTTTAAACAGAAAATTAAGTACAAAACATATGAGATTAGTATAAAGTGTACGAGCAAACTTAAAATTGGTAACATTCAGGGATGCCAACTTGCTCCGCTTTGTAAAATAGTGTTTTCTAGTGGTGACGAAATTTAAGTTATTTCAGTTTTGTATTTTTCACCACTAAATATCATATAAAATGCAACGTTAAAGCATCCATCTACTGGTTACTCTATTAAAAAGTAGGCGTGACCATCATTCTTTAAGGAATTTTACTTTATAATTTGCTAAAACTATACCAGAAAGCAGAGCAGTTGGCATCCCTGAACATTTTCTATCTTTTAACAACCAATCTGGTTGTGCTCCAAGCCATGAAGGTAGGGTATTTATAACCTAAAGATGAAGCTTTAGTGTCATATTGTGACAAAATATGAACAATAAAAAGCGTTTAGAAACAAAAGTTTGAGGTACAGTTTAAAAACATAACGGTACAATGTTTGATCAGATGTATGTTTTAGAAATACAATAAAAGACATCCAATCTAAACATTAATGAGCTAAACGCTGGAACTCACTGTAGAAATTTTTGTAAATTTAAAATTAAATAAACCTATGAAATGGAAGGGGTACAATATAAAACAAATCAGTCAATACTACTCTTACTCATAAATAAAATACAAAATATTTCTTAGTGCAGTACTGTAAAAACTCAATTTTAACACTTTTGGCATAATATGAGCAGTCAGCTATTACAACAAATTCCAATAATAAGAAGACAAAAAGTGAATGTTTTTATCAAGTTGAACCTCCCACATATTCTGACTAGTAATTTACTATTCAACCAAGCAATATTGGACAAAAAGAGAGCAAAATGGAAGGTATTTTATTCATTGTGCATATGTTTATTTCTAGTATTATTGCTGCAAAAGAAAAAACAAACATCATTCCACCTTTATGTTTATAGAGTTTATGTGGGAGACTACTAACCTCTGTTATCTTCCTCTTTACCAAAGAAAAATTCTTTTATGTTTAAAAATCTTACTGCACGCTTAAAAAAAAAAGAGTCATTTGTTGCCCACAATGCCCCCTTTTTCTCTCGACAACTTACTATTGAATTTAGTGTCATCAATGACATCAAAAGCTATTGCACTTGTCATTTTCATGTAAAAACTACTCTAGATATCGATTTTATATCAAAATAAGGTAAAGAGGTAAATGTGTCTATTTCCTCATGGCTGTTTTAACATTAAATATTTATATTTGTTTATAATGATAATGCTGTCTTCTATTGTGAATTGTCGTTATAAAGTTAAATGTATTGACGCATCACCATCTTTTAGCAATGAAATATTTTAAAATATTTTTATAGCGGAGTTCATCACAGAGGAAAAGATTGTAGCAGTGATCGTGTTGTACACAAAGTTATGAAAGTGCTAAGTTCTTCCAGCTCCTATCTTTTCCCAGAAACACTCACAGTTCACCAAAGTTTTAGGAAACCATTCAAAGCACCAAAGGGAAATGGAGGTTGGGGAGACGTACGTGACCATGCTCTTTGTTGCAGTCAGGTTAAAAACTTCAGCTTTTATTGTTGATCTATGCAACTTCATCTAGTCTATGTGCAATCATTCCTTCACTATTGTATATTTCTTATACTCATATCCAAATTGCATTGGTGATAAATGCATTTCTGGATATAAAAATAAAGATTTTCTATGTATTCTATTAAAATTTGTGTTAAATTTATTTCTATCTATTACTTTATACAAAACTTCTCTAGCAATAAATGCTAGACTGGCACTTTCCATTATTCCCAGGAATTCGAAATTTGACCAGCGTCTTTGTCATGAGATAAATTATAAAATTGCTAATTTACTTTTACATAGATTTCATCGCTGACATAGTAAAATTAGTTATTTAAGTGCTGCTAAAGACAAAATGTTTAAGTCATTTTTTTATATTACAACTTTTTAAAGTGTATGTTACCACTTCAAGATAAAATATTTATGTCCCAAAAAAAATCTAGTTTTTAAAATGTTTTTTTCTTTTTGGCGAGACTGAAATTTTTGTGCATTTTTATAAAATAAATAAACTATTTCTAAAAATAATTTTGTTTGAATATATAGCCACCTTTTTCAAAATCACATCATTCAAATTGGTAATTATAATTATACATATATGTTCAAAATATATTCGAAAAGACCAAAAAAATATTAGTTAAAGCATGTAATTTTGTAAAATTTTAATTTATAATGTATTCCTTAAAATTTTAATTACATTTTCACCAACAAAAAAAATTTTCAAGAAATTTTTTAAAACTCAATTGTACAAATATCTTTCATGTGTAAGAATATGCTTTAAAGACTAATTGAAAGATTGAAAACAATTTTTTTGTTAAAATTGTTTCTTTTTCTTTATTTAAAAAAGAAAAAATAAAGATTGAACTGCCATTTCTAGAAACAATTCCAGCGCAAGTCTGAAGTAAATAAGGAAATATTATATTACTTTCACATAATATGTCCACGGAGAGGGGGGCTGTGCACTATTTGAAAAATGTTTAAATAATAGCAACATATTAAAAAATTTGAAATCTGCCATTTTTAGAAACCATATACTGCTTTTCAATAAGCATGGCACAATTTTACAGGATAATTATTACATAAAATTTTGTACCAAAAATATCAGTTTTGTCCTGCAAACTAATAAATTTATTAACGAACTGCTCCTTATATTAAATTCCACTGTGATTTTAAAAAAAATTACTGCTGAGATCAATGTAGAGCATTATATTACAGAGTGCGTAGCCAAATTATTCAACCAAAAATAAGCACTTTTCAAGCACTCCAAAATATTTTTAGGCACTTTAAAAAAATATAACTAGGCAGGGTTGGAAAGTTTTGACAATTAACAGTTTTATCTTGTTTCAACCATCATGTAAACAAAAACAAAACATTTTGGCATTGTTTTTGACAATTGTCAAAAATCATGAAATTTTGAATCAAGTTAAACGAATGTTTTCATACGCTATGGACTGACAATACACTGAAATTGATTGGGGTTGAATTAATTGTGCAAACGTTGAATAGAGCAATGTTAACTGTGTCTTTTTGCATAATTCAAAGCGAAAATCAACATAGTAAAGGAAAAATCTCATTTTGAAAAAGATAAAATTAAGCACCTTTTGAAAACATCCAATGAAAAAAGCACTTTTAAGGGCTTTTAAAAATAAAAAATAAGCACTTTTTAAAAACACTACGCACCTTGGTATAAAATATTTATGTTTACAAATATATTCAATTTGTGGCCAAAATTTTAAAGATAAATTTCTAAAGTGCGCTTTTATATGGCAAAACTAGCAGGCACATTTGCATAGAAAATTTTGCTTGTCATTTATAAAAAAACTCAAATCAGTGGCATTAATAACACTCCTGCAAAACCCATGATGGGGTCACACAAAAATTTGAGAGTGAACTCACCAGAAAGAAATTATTTTATAACATAATTTTTTTAAATTCTTAATTAATAACCTTTAACTAAACTTTCAATATAATTATTGCTAGACAGGAAGTTATTTTCTCATATTAAGTTAAATTTCATTCCTATGTAGTGAGTGTATACAATTTTTCAATTTAATACCTTTTCTAAATTCCGTCTTTACATCGCTAATTACGATTTTCATAATTTAAATTAAAATAAATTATTATAAATACTCGAATATCTCTTTACATAATGCTTTTGTTTCATATTATAACTTTAAATGTTTTATAGAGAGTCTAAAAACGGGTGCACTTAAGTCTTCATGTGTACACCACTGCTCAAATCTTAAGTGTGTGGCATTCTTTTACAGAATACATATTGCTTATCAGACGATATAGCGTGGTGAAATTCTCCACAGCACTTTGTGTCAATGAAACAAATCAAGTACTCACAAAATGCACATTATCATCCTACTATTTTTGCAGAAAATATGTTGTTTCAGGAGAATGACATTATTTATTAAAATTAATTAACTGTAAAATTTAAAAACTAAAGTGGTTTGTGGCAAACTCAGCTTATGCACCCCTTGCATTATGGTGTGAGAATTACAGGGGCCTTTTCAGGACCACCTTTAAAATGATTATGTAAAACTCACCATGTTGAGGCATTGCAATGTTAAATTTTACATAGAATAAGTTAATTTTACATAGAATAGTTTAAATATAATTTTTTTTTAAAACAATATAACTTGATTACTTAATTTTTAATTCAGTTTAAAATTTAGCACTGTATGTTATTAATGTAGTTTCTATTCCAGTTAGATGTTTTTGATTGTGTTTACTGTTGTTTTATTGAATGATAAGCATTTATTCTAAGGGTATTTTTCATTCAATATATTGCCAATTTGTTATAAACAAAGCAAAGCAAACTATAATAATAGTAAATTGGCATCCTGCTTAATTTATTGATAAATCGGATAAAAACTTGAAAAAGTTATGATGCCCTTAATTTGCAAATTAAGCTGTTGATATTTAAAGAAGAAAAATCAGTTTATTCAGGAATTTACTTTCAATTATTTTTTATAAATTTTGCACCCCTCTAAAGCTGTGCCCAGACACAGGCATCCCCTCTTGCTCCCCCGATAGCATGAAGCACAATTTGACAGAAAGCATTTTCTTGAAAATATGTATGTTAAAAAAATAGTTGTTTTCAAGGTACATAACAAGCAAATTCATTTGTAAATTGCTCTTAGGAGTTATCTTAGTGAAATGATGGCTTTGAAGTGATAGTTTACCTCAATATATGTTTTTGTAAAAAAGTCATTGTCCTATAAATTTCATGCTGGGTGCTAACCAGTTAAATACAAAATAATGACACAGTTTTACCGGACGACTTGCCATAGTAAGTACTATTTATATCCAAAAATTACAGTATCACAGTACAAATTTCAGAAACCAAATTCTGACAAGTCCCTAATATTTTTAAAATTTACGTAATTCATATATATATCAGTGTTTTCATCTTAGAAAAAAAATGGGTGAGAATTTCTCACCCTTTCTCAAAAACAGGGCGAGACTTCAAAAACTTAAGTGAGATTTCTAAAAACTAAAAAAACACAAAAACTCTTGAAAAAAATTTTTTTTTAATTATAATACATTTCTAACGTTTTCTATTTTTTAAAGCATTGAATATTTTTGGTGCATCATCATAGAAGATTTTGCCTTTACAAGGTATTTGTCCATCTTACATTAGCACATAAAAAATTCGAACGTCTTACATGAAGAAACCTAACCTACGGTAAACACGTGGTTGCAGAGAAATGTGTTCTGAAAGGGGTTCTGTGGTTGTGTTCTGTTGTTCGAAAAGGTTTTTAACAATACTGGTAAATAGGGAAGCTAGATAACGGGGCAGATGTTGAAAATAATGAAAGATACAGGCAGAAAAGTGAAACGGATTTTATTCTAAATGGCGTAATTCTAAGCTTT